TCATTCCAGAAGGGCTGGGGGGACCATATGGGGTGCCTGAAATCCAACCTGGGTCCGGAGCGAACAAGCACCACAGGCATCCTGCCTGCTGTCCACTCTGAGCCTCACAGCCCTGAGGTGGGTCCTGCCCCTCCACTCCACAGAGAATGAGGGGAATCGGATTAGGTCTTTGCTGGCACTCCAGCGGTCCCCCCCCTCGGGCAGGGGGGCAACAGGTAGCAAAGAGCAGAAAGAGGAGCCCCTGTGACCCCCCTGTGCAAGTCTTTGAGCCCAGAAACCGCAGGGCACATGAACAGCAGCTCACGTTCTGGGACAATAGTTGCTTTGTGACCTGCCCAGTTCTGGCCTCCTGCTCCCTGCTGGAGGGGTGGGCGGGACCCTCCCTGGGACCCTCGCAGAACCTTTCTGACTCCTCCCTGCTTCTAAGGGTTTTGGGGGGCTGTGTGCTGCCCCTGTTTCCTTCTAGGTGCGGGAACCCCAGGGCCTAGCTGTTTCTTTATTTCCTCCTCCTCCTCCTCCTCCTCCTCCTCCTCCTCCTTCTTCTTCTCCTTCTTTTTTGCTTTTTGGGTTACACCCAGCTCCAGCGATGCTCAGGGGTTACTCCTGGCTCTGCACTCAGGAATTATTCCTAGTGGTGCTCAGGGGACCATATGGGATGCCGAGGATTGAACCCCGGCATGCAAGACAAATGCCCTACCAGCTGCTGTACTATCGCTCCAGCCCTGTTTCTAACCACGCAGAATGTTCTTCCCTACGTCTGTGAGCCAGCTTTAATAATGCCTGCCTCTCAGGGCCTCTGGGGAGAGGAGGAATGAGTTACCTGGTGTGAAAGTTTGTTTCACTCGGTGGAAGGTTCTGGAGCAAGATGACGGCAACGGTTGAACCTTTTTAGCATTTTTAGTACCACTTAAAAATGGCCAACATGGGACCAGAGTTGGTGGGAGCCCAGAGGCCAGTCCCACCGTGGCCAGGATGGCCACACAGCGGCCAGCAGCACTCTGCATCTCAGAGCAGATGACAGACAGTTTTGTCCGCTCAGGGACAACTGAACCGGCACGCGTCTGGGCCCAAACCCCAACAGCCTGCAAGACCGAAATAACCTAACCTCACTCCAGCTGTCGGGGGAGGAGGAGACCGTCTCAGGAGCCCAGAGTAGGGATGGGGAGACTCATCCCCCAGCTGCGTTGAGACCCCAGAAGCAGGCCCCACCCCGAGGTCCCGGGGTTATCATCAGTCTGGCAGATTGGGCTGGAGGGACCCCCAGATCTGCAGAGCCTCTCACACCCAGAAATAACATCCCCCGGCAGCTGAGCTTATCAGCACGATAGCAGCTTTGCAAGCCAGAGCCGGGCCTCCCTTCTGACGTGCGTTGGCTCCACGGGCCTGTGGGCAGAGGGTCGCTGTCCACACCTCATTGCTGAGAGGCGCTTTGGAGGCCTCTCCTGGGCCAACCCCCCGGGGAGCCAGAAGCCCCCGGAGAAGGGCCAGTGCACACGCTCACCCTAGCAGGTATGTTCCACGGTTGAGTGGACCCGTCTTCATCCTCCAAACACACACACTGTTCCCCAGGCCCCAGAGCATCGCTGGGTGTGGCCCTCAAACAAGAATAGATAAATAAATGAATCCGAACTGGAGACTGTGCCAGTGGCTTGAGTTGCCCCGTACTGGCCAGGAGGGGGGTCTCTGAAGGCCCCGCGGGGGTTGGTGGGAGCACAAAGGCCAGTCCTGAGGTACCTACTACTTTTGGGGGGGGTTTCCAAAATTTTTAAAGGGGACTGCAGAGATAGCACAGCGGGTAGGGCGTTTGCCTTGTATGCAGCCAACCTGGGTTCAATTCCTAGCATCCCATATGGTCCCCTGAGCACCGCCAGGGGTAATTCCTGAGTGCAGAGCCAGGAGTAACCCCTGTGCATCGCCGGGTGTGACCCAAAAAGCAAAAAAAAAAAATTTTTTTTAAAAGGCAACTGTGAGTCAGAGCGATAGTACAGCAGGGAGGGCCTTGCACTCCACCAACCAGGGTTCGATTCCTGGCATCCCGTATAGTCACCCGAGCACCGCCAGGAGTAATTCCTGAATGCAGAGCCAGGAGGAACCCCTGAGCATCGCCGGGTGTGACCCAAACAGCAAATGGGCAGCACGCGTATGTGCATATGTGCGCGCGTGTGCCCGGGGATGTGCGCATGTGTATGTGCCCAGATGATCCTGCCCTCCTCGCCTCCTCGGGTAGGTGAGAACTGAGGAGCCTGAGCCAGAAGAACTTGGCAGCCCGCGGAGTGACCTCGGTCAGTGGGGCGGCAGATGAGCACCGTCGCCAGTAGGTGGCGCTCGACGCATACGGTGCAGGGCCGAGCTTTTGGCCACGACCCAGGCGCTATGCCCAGAGCATCCAGTCAGTACCTTGGAGCACAGCAGAGACCCAGCGAGCGCCACTACCAAGCTTGTGCCACTTCCGGCTACTGCAGCAGCTGCTGAGGGCGACAGGGGGTGGGGGGGACATAAAACCAAATGCATTAAAAAGAAAAACCTCCAAAGAGAAAGACTTGGGACAGGATTTATTTTTTCAGATTTTTTTTTTTTTTTGGCTTTTTGGGTCACACCGGCGATGCTCAGGGGTTGCTCCTGGCTCTGCACTCAGGAATTACCCCTAGCGGTGCTCAGGGGACCATATGGGATGCTGGGAATCGAACCCGGGTCGGCCGCGTGCAAGGCAAACACCTTCCCTGCTGTGCTATCACTCCAGCCCCAGAATTTTTATGCTATTTGTAGGTTATATTTGATGCTTATATAGAGAAAGTTTACAAATAAGATCACACAATAGAGGGCTGGAGAGATGGTTCCAAGGTTGGAGCGCAGGTCTTGCACGCACGAGGCCCCGGGTTCGATCCCAGGCGCTGCATGCAACTCCCAGCACTCCCGGGTGTGACCCTGATGGTCCCCATCAGGTACACGCAGTAGGGCTGAATATCACCAACAATGACCCCCAGGTCATCCCTGAGCACTGCTAGGGAGGGACTCCCCCCACTCCACAAATAAAAAGATCATGCTGCATAAAAAGTTGACTAACTTGTACCTTCCAACTGAATTATCACTCACTGGGCCATACTTAGTGGGAGTCATCTGTATGCAAGGCAAGTGCCTCAAACCCTGTACTAGCTCCCCAGCCCCTAAATCATAGCTTTTCTTTCTTTCTCTCTTTTGTTTTTTTGGGGGCCACACATGGCAGTGATCAGGGTTTACTCCTGGGTCTGTGCTCAGGGATGGCTCCTGGAGGGGACCATATATGGGATGCTGGGCATAGAAGTCAGGTCGGACACATGTAAAGTAAACATCTCTCCAGCCCTCTTTCTTTTTCTGTCACTGTCACTGTCCTCCCGTTGTTCATCGATTTGCTCGAGCGGGCCCAGTAACGTCTCCATTGTGAGACTTGTTGTTACTGTGTTTGGCATATTGAATACGTCACGGGGAGCTTGCCAGGCTTTGCCGTGTGGGCGAGATACTCTCGGTAGTTTGCCAGGCTCTCCGAGAGGGGTGGAGGAATCGAACCTGGGTCAGCCCAGTCTGCTGCGTGCAAGGCAAATGCCCTACCTGCTGTGCTATCGCTCCAGCCCATTTCTTCTTCTATCTATCATTAGTTTTGGTCACAGCTGGTGGTACTCGGTGCGTATTCCTGGCTCTGTGCTCAAGAGTGATTCCTGACGGTGCTCGGGGGATACTTGGCAGTGCTGAGGATGGAACCTAGTCTAGGCCCAGGCCATGCAAGCACCGTATTTCCCGTACCATCTCACCAGTCTGGGGAAATTTTTTTAACCAGGTTAAAACAGAAACCCAGCAAGAGGGCCAGGCGGTGTCAGTGAATCAAACGCAGGTCTCTCTGGCATGCAAGGCTTGTGTTTGGCTCTTTGAGGAAAGTTATCTTGGTGACGGGAAGCCTTAGCCACCTTACATGATCAGATGGCTGAGAGGTAGCCTAATTTCCTTAGCTTTTCCTCTGTGGGGGACTACCTAACTGCCAATCCCTCCTCCAAGCCGCCCATTCATCAAGAATTGAACCTTTTTCTCCAGCACTGAGAGCTAATGATCACGACCATCCTGTTATTTGTCGATTGCCTCGAGCAGGCCCCAGTAACGTCTCCTTCGTCCTAGCCCTGAGATTTTTTAAAGTGCCATATTCAAGGCTCTTTCAGGGTTAGGAGAATGAGACCCTTCATTGTTACTGGTATTTGGCATATTGGGCACACCAATATGCCACGGGGAGTTTGCCAGACTCTGCCGTGTGGGCAGGTTACATTCGGTAGCCTGCCAGTTTGTCCAAACAAACTGGCTAACAGTGACCCCAAAACAAAAAAACAGGGGCTGGAGCAATAGCACAGCGGGTAGGGCGTTTGCCTTGCACGCAACCGACCTAGGTTCGATTCCCAGCATCCCATAGGGTCCCCCGAGCACCGCCAGAAGTAATTCCTGAGTGCATGAACCAGGAGTAATTCCTGTGCATCGCTGGGTGTGACTCAAAAAAAAAAAATCTAGAACAGTGGCAGAGGTCGGAGCGATAGTCCAGCAGGGAGGGCATTTGCCTTGCACGCAGCCGACTCGAGTTCGATCCTCGGCATCCCATGGGGTCCCCGGGAGCACCGTTAAGAGTCATTCCTGAGTGCAGAGCCAGGAGGAACCCCTGAGCATCGCCGGGTGGGACCCAAAAAGCAGAGGAAAAAAAACAAAACACTCGCAAGTGTACCAGCACAGAAGCTGGTCAGCTGAGTGTGTGTGTGTGTGTGTGTGTGTGTGTGTGTGTGTGTGTGTGTGGAGCTGCTGCCCCTCCCGGGCCCTCCTCCGCCTCATTTCTGGACCCTGAAAGCGGCCAGCCCGGCGCACCCCTGCTCGGTCCAGCAGCATCCCAGCGGGAGCCCGCACCCGGGCTGACCCCGGAAGCAGTCGCGGCGCCGGCGGCGGCGTCCCCGGTTGCCATGGCGCCGCCCCGGAAGTTGGGCGCGGCCGGGCCGGGGGCTGGAGGCGGGGCCGGCGCTCCCGCTGCTGCTCGGGGCCCGCAGGTGAGGCGGCGGCCGTGGCCGTGGCGACCCGGGAGGCGGCGGGGCGGGTGCGCATGCGCGGGCGGGGGGCGGCCCCGGGCGCTGCCGCTGCTGCTGCCGGACCCCCGGGCAGCCGGTGCGGACCCCCGGGTCCCGCTTCCCGCCCCCGAGCGCCGCAGCCGACCTTGTGCCGTCATTGTCTTCTCCTCCTCCTCCCCTTCCTCCTCCTCCTCCTCCTCCTCCTCCTCCCCCCCACCCGGGATCGCGCGGTGCCAGGGCCGCCCCCCGCCCTGGCATTCGCCCCTGTCCCTGCTGGCACCCTTTTGCACAGTGCCCGCAGCTCCGGGCAGCAGCCTGGACACTCGCCTCAATCAGGGCTGGGTGGGGCAGGTCGGTGCCTGCTGGGGGGGGCATCGTTGCCAGGGGCCGTCTGCTGGCGTGGGGGTGGGGGTGCGTGTCTAGGGGCGTCTGCACTGCCAGCCCGGGTGCAAAGTTGGAGCGGGGTGGGGTGTCCTGCCTCAGAAAGGAAGGGGCCTGGAGCACTGCTTGGAGAGCCCTCCCAAGCTATTGTGTGTTTACCGATGGCCCATTCCCTCCCAGCCCCGGAAAAATCTGGAAAATGATTCCGGTGCCCTGGGGTCTGGCCTGGCTGCCTGCACTGGAATGCACTCAGGGTCCGGCTAAGGCCGATGGGCGCTTCAGCCCTTGGACGGTTCTCCCGGCTTTTGTCTGCGCGTTGTTAGGACCCTCAGAGGTGGGAGCCTCTTGGCAGAGTTCTGCTCTCCAGGGTGCAGAGATGGTCCCCACGTGCTCCCGGCCTGGGGCGACAGCTGCACCCTGACTTCCAGGAAGCTGTGAGAGTTGTTGGACCGTTGGGACGGTGGCTGGCTGGCCACGCGCCCCTTGGACTGTGTGTTGAAGGCAGCTGGTCCTCCAGAGCCAAGTGTCAGGGATGGACGGAAACTTTTCACCCTTGGGCATGACTGAGAATCCCTGAGGGGCCAGGCGTCTGCATTGCGGGTGACCGACCCGGTTCGGTCCCGGTTCGGTCCTGGTTTGGTCCCTGGTACCACGTGGTTTTGCACAGGAGGCCAGGAACCCCTGGGAGGGGCTGGACACTCGCCTTGCATGCGGCTCCAGGGGTTCATTCCCCAGCACCCCATAGGGTCCCGAGTCCCGTCAGGAGTGACCCCTGAGCACTGCCAGATGTGACCCCCAAAAAACCAAACAAAATCTCCGGGACGCCTCTGAGAACTGCAAACCATCCCCCAACCCCAAAGAATCCTCTTCACGCTATGATGAGATTCCTGGGCCCCTCGAGGGCGCCCCCTTTCTGCCAGGCTCTGCACTGCACTGGGCTGTGTGGTTGGGGGGGATGGGGGAGGCCCCGGGCAGTGGGGTGGGTTGACATTAAGATGGGGACCTTCCTGGAGGAGGTGGCCACCTCGGGACAGGATGCAGCTCGGTGGGTGTGAGCAGCAGACAGGGGGCAGCACATGACTGGGGAAACCCTGGGAGAGGGGACATGGCGTCCACACCCTGCAGCGCTGGCCTGGCCCTGTGGGCTGCGACTTTTGTCCTCAAGGCCATGACAAGGTGCGTCGGGTCTGTGGCCCGAGAGGCGGTGACGTTGAGGTGAGGGGGATCGAGAGACCCATCGGGCTGCCGCAGTTCTCCCAGAGAGCGGGGAGAGACACGGACGGAACTGGAAACTTCTAGAATCTTCTGGGCCTTGCAGCATGTGGAGTGCCTCTCTTGCCACCCCGGTTCTGGGCCACAGCATGGGCACAGGAACCCGGGGGATCCAGGCTCCAGGCCCGGGTAGGTGCCCAGGGCCGTTGCTGGGGAAATTCCAGAAGCTTCCTGCCGTGTGCTACCTTAGGGATGGGCCCTTGTTTCGGTGCTCAGGGGGCCACTGAGATGCTGCTCAGCGGAGCTGGGGATCAAACTCTCGACCTTGCGCATGCCCATCACCAGGCTGGGCAGTGGCCCTGGGCCGGCCGGGCGCATCTGGCGGGGGTCTGGACAGCACAGAGGCTGCTGCCACCCACACCATCTGGGTCTTCATCACAGTAACAGAACCCCAGAGGCGAGTCCAGGCCTGGGGTCCCTCCGGAGTGACTGGCCAGCGCCGCGGCCCCCTGCCCCTGCCCTGTTGTTTTCTTGCATTAGCGCCCGGAGCGTGGGGGGCAGTGATGCTGTGGCTGGATGCCCCCCGGTTTCAGAGCTCCTATGGTAGGTCCAGCTGGACCCTGGGGGCGTCTGTCCCCTGAGGCTGGTGTCCAGGGTAGGGGCAGCCTCCCTGGCTCCTTCTGACGCCCCAAAGTACTTCCAGGCTGTAACCCCAGGGTCACAGGGCATGCCCGCTTGCTGTGTGGTCTTCATGGGGGCAGTCATAGCCGACAGCAGACATGGGCTGGCTCTTGGTCTCCTGGTGAGACCCCTCCCTTGTGGCGGGTGATTCCATCCCCCAGCCCCAAAATATGAGCCCCGTCCTGGGGCCTCGGGGCAGGAAAGAGTAGCCCCCCACCCCACCCCGGGTGCAGCCGGAGGCTGTGGGGGTCATGTTGGCTGGACGGGGAGGGCAGGTGGCTCTTTCGAATCCCGAAGGGGCCAAGCCCCATCTTGGCCCTGGTCACTGTCTCTGCTCGGTGGGGTGGGGGCTAGAACTGGGATGTGGGGGGTGCACAGTTCAAACATGACGCCTTCCCAGGAAAGCAGCTTCCCTGGAGACTGGCCATGTGCAGAGGGGAGTCTGGGGGGACTCGGGCCGGGGAAGGGGGTTGCCCGGACCACAGAGGGGTGGGCTCCTTTGCACTTTCCAGGTTTCAATCTGGGACAAGCAGAGGGGCGTGTCCCCCGCTGCGGAGGTGACAAACTGGGTGCCTCCAGGCATCACCTGGGGTCCACGGTCCCCCCAGGGGGCAGCGCTCACCGCGGGCTCTCCTCCAGGGTCATGGCCGGGAAGGTCAAGTGGGTGACGGACATCGAGAAGTCGGTGCTGATCAACAACTTCGAGAAGAGGGGCTGGGTGCAGGTGACGGAGAATGAGGATTGGAACTTCTACTGGTGAGTGCTGGGCCCCGCGGGAGGGGCTGGGAGCCCTGCGCCTGTGCCTACCCCGGGGTTGGGATGCCCGGCTGTGGCTGTCTGGCTCCTGGGCGAGGTTAGTGTCCCCCCCGGGGCCTGCCCCAAAGTCCCTGACTAGAGGACCAGACGAGGGCCGCAGTGCCTTTGTGCCTCTGTTTCCCTCTCTGCCAAGAGATGTGAGATGGGGGTGTTGGGGTACCATATGGGATGCTCAGGAGGAACCCCTGAGCATCTCTGGGTGTGACCCAAAAGTGAAAAAAAAAACAGGATTCAAACAGTTTGTGGGGCCTGAGTGATAGTCCAGCAGATGGAGCGTGTCCTCACCCACGGCCGACCCGGGTTCCATCCCCCACGTCCCTCAAGGTCCCCTGAGCACCGCCAGGGGTGATCCCTGAGTGCAGAGTCAGGAGTCAGCCCTGAGCACTGCTGGTATGTGCCCCCCACAAAGGAAAAGATTTGGGGTCCTGGGGTGTGTGTGATTAGGGGTCGAGTCTAGGCCTTGGGCTCCACCCCAGCTCTAAAAAACAAACAGCCCCAAACCATTCATGGGTGAGTTAGAGCCGTAAGAAAGAGAGAGGCTTGAGGCCGGAGTGATAGTACAGCGGGGAGGGCGTTTGCCTTGCACGCAGCCAACCCCGGTTCGATCCCCGGCATCCCATAGAGTCCCCTGAGCACCTCCAGGAGTAAGTCCTGAGTGCAGAGCCAGGAGGAACCCCTGAGCATCGCCGGGTGGGACCCAGAAAGAAAAGAAAGAGAGAGGCAGTATTTTGGCCTTGGCTGTGGGGTGGAACTCTGCCCAGCAAGACACAGATGTCCCCCCTACCCCCAGCTCCCTGAGGGCCCTGGGTCCGGAGCTGGGATCCTTCCCTCATGGTACCATGTTCTCACACACACGCATGCGCCCACACACTGCACTCTCACACATATGCACACACACATGTATGCATATGCACACACATATGCTTGCACACACACACACACACACACACACACACACACACACACTCTAATGATGACAGACAGCAGGCTCTGAAGGAAGCCTTCCCGCCAGCCCGAGTCAGGAAGATGGTCAGAACCGTCTGGGGGCTTGAAACCCCCGGGGTGAGGCACTGGGGGGTGAGGGGGGTGAGGCTCTCACCTGGTGCCGTGGCCGGGCCCCTGCAGGGGGTCTCTCCTGAGCAGCCCCAGGTGTGGCTCCAAGCCCAAACCCAGCACATCCATCAGGATCGCAGGGAAGGGGAGAGAGTGGAGGGGTCGGGGTGAGCGACCTGCACGCGAGGGGCCCGGTGCTGTCCCTGCCCGCCCCCCGCCCCCCTGGGGGTGTCAGGGTGCCAGAGGGGCCCCAGGGGGTGGCGCCTTCACCGCGCGGGCTCTGTCGGCAGGATGAGCGTGCAGACCATCCGGAATGTGTTCAGCGTGGAGACTGGCTACCGGCTCTCGGACGACCAGATCGTCAACCACTTCCCCAACCACTACGAGCTGACCCGCAAGGACCTGATGGTCAAGAACATCAAGCGCTACCGGAAGGAGCTGGAGAAGGAAGGGAGCCCCCTGGCGGAGAAGGACGAGAACGGCAAATACCTCTACCTGGGTGCGGGGCCAGCCCTTCAGATGGGTTTTGTTTGTTCGTTTGTTTAATTAATTAATTAATATCTCGCCCACACGGCAGAGCCTGGCAAGCTCCCCGTGACGTATTCGATATGCCAAACACAGTAACAACAAAGTCTCCAATGGAGACGTTACTGGGCCCGCTCGAGCAAATCGATGATCAACGGGAGGGCCTTTACTTACTTACTTAATTAATTAACTTTTTGCTTTTTGGGTCACACCTGGCAATGCTCAGGGGTTCCTCCTGGCTCTGCACTCAGGAGTTACTCCTGGCGGTGCTCAGGGGACCCTATGGGATGCTGGGAATCGAACCCGGGTCGGCCGCGTGCAAGGCAAATGCCCTACCCACTGTGCTATCTCTCCAGCCCCTGTTTTTTTTTTTTTTTATGGGATTTATTTTATTTTTTGTTTTCAGGGGCCCACCCACCTATACTCAGGGTGACTCCTGGCTCTGCATTCAGGATTTACTCCGGTGGTGCTCAGGGGACCCTATGGGATACTGGGATCGAACCCAGGTTGGCCATGTGCAAGGCAAATGCCGTCCCTGCTGTATTAGCACTCCAGTCCCCAAACCCTCTCAGATGTTGGCTGGAGATGCCCAGTGGGGCTAGGCGGGGGCACTGAGGAGTGGACAGTTCTCTAGAACATAGGGGTGCTCCGGATTAGGGGGTGTCTTTGTTTGGGGGATCTGCCCTAAACTAGAAATCACTTCAAGGCAATTCTCGGGGACCCTCTCGTGGGGTTTCTCTATTGAGTTGTTCCAGAACCTCTTTCCTGCCTAAGCACCTCTCCGAGCCTCAGTTTCCCCAGGTGGTGCAGGGGGCTGCTTTGGTCCCCAGCTCCTGGGTTGCCGGGGGAATCAAAGACAGATTTGTCGGGACCGGAGTGATAGTCCAGCGGGGACGGTGTTTGCCTTGCACACGGCCGACCCGGGTTCGATTCCCAGCATCCCATAGGGTCCCCTGAGCATTGCCAGGAGTGATTCCTGAATACAGAGCCAGACGAAACCCCTGAGCATCGCTGGGTGTGACCCTCCCTAAAAGGACCCAAAACAAAAAGACAGGTTTGACCAAGTGCCTGGGGCCCCGGGCGTCAGGGGGTGCTGGCGGGAACCGAGAAGCCGCTGGCCGCGCTCCGGGTAGGGCCGCCCTCGGACCAACCGCGCTCGCCTCCTCCTCCAGACTTCGTGCCGGTCACGTACATGCTGCCCGCCGACTACAACCTGTTCGTGGAGGAGTTCCGGAGGTGCCCGTCCAGCACCTGGATCATGAAGCCGTGCGGCAAGGCCCAGGGCAAGGGCATCTTCCTCATCAACAAGCTCTCGCAGATCAAGAAGTGGTCGCGGGACAGTAAGACGTCCTCGTGCGTGGGGGGGCCCTGCCGCCGCGCCCCTGTGCCCCCCCCGCCCCCCCTCCTCGCGAGCGGGCGGCGCCCTGAGTGTCGGCGCCTGGCCCGCAGGTTCATGTCGCAGTCCACGAAGGAGGCGTACGTGATCTCGCTCTACATCAGCAACCCGCTGCTCATCGGCGGCAGGAAGTTCGACCTGCGGCTCTACGTGCTGGTCTCCACCTACCGGCCCCTGCGCTGCTACATGTGAGGCCGGGCCCAGGGTCACTCTTGCTTGGCGCCAGCCGCGTCTGGGGCTTTAGAAAAGCCGGGCTGGGCCTGGAGCGATAGCGCAGGGGGAGGGCGTTGGCCTTGCACGCCACTGACCCGGTTCGGTTCCCAGCATCCCATAGGGTCCCCCGGCACCGCCAGGAGTGATTCCTGAGTGCAGGGCCAGGAGGAACCCCTGAGCATCGCTGGGTGTGACCTAATAAAGCAAAAGGCTTGAGGTCTCGGGGTGGTTTTGTTTTGCCCCGGTTTGATCCCTGAGTGATCACCTGAGCACCCCGAGGTGTAGCCCCCCAAAATAAAAAGAAAATGAAACTATTATTAAGATGAAAGCAACCAAAAACATAATAAAAGGGGTCAGAGATAGCACAGCGGGGAGGGCACTCTCCTTGCATGTGGCTAACTCCAGGTCCATCCCTGGCACCTCATATGTCCCCCTGAGCTCTGCAGGGAGTGATCCCTGAGCACTGAGCCAGGCGTAACCCCTGAGCACTGCAGGGAGTCAAGGACACGCCCAGCACCAGTGCTACTCCTGAGCATTGATCCAGGAATAACCCCTGAGCACTGCAGGGAGTGATCCCTGAGCACTGAGCCATGTGTAACCCCTGAGCACTGCAGAGTGATCCCTGAGCACTGATCTAGGAGTAACTCCCCAAGCACTGATCCAGGAGTAACCCCTGAGCACTGCAGAGTGATCCCTGAGCACTGATCCAGGAGTAACTCCCTGAGCACTGAACCAGGAGTAACCCCTGCACACCACTGGGTGTGGCCACCCGCAAAAAACAATAAATAAAAGAGTAAAGAGAGCTCTTTTATTTTTGTTTTTCTTTTATTCCTCTCCCCATAGTGCTGCCTTTATAGGTGTAAAGCAAACCCACCGCTCTTGTCTGTCCCTGGGACTCCGTTGCCCTATACCCTCTAAGACAGCCGTTCTTTTGTGGGGGGCTCTCTCTGGAGGTGCTGGGGGCCCCCTGGGCGACACCCGGGAGTGCTCAGGAAACGCTGGGGGAGGAACCCAGGGGCCCCGCCCTGCAGAAGCTGCCCCTTTAAGAGAAGGAGCTCCGTGCTCCCGAGCCCCAGTCGCCCTCCTCCCTGCCCAGGTACAAGCTGGGCTTCTGCCGCTTCTGCACCGTCAAGTACACGCCCAGCACCAGCGAGCTGGACAACATGTTCGTGCACCTCACCAACGTGGCCATCCAGAAGCACGGGGTGAGCGGGCAGGGACGGCGGGCGGCGCCCGGGACTGTCCTGGCGGCGAGCGGGGCTGGGGACGGTGGGTCTGCGGCCGGGACGGTCCTCGGTGCCAAGATGTGGGTCAGGGCAGGAAGCAATGCCCGGGCTGGTGACCCAGACGGCGGGGAAAGAACATTCTAGCAGAGGGATGGCTCCGGTGGCAGGAACTGAAAGGAAGTGAGGGAGGCGGGACCCCGGGGCGAGGGACCGGGGCGAGGGGTCGGGGCGAGGGGTCGGGGTATAGGCTGTGGGTATGGATTGTTTTTCCTTGTTTTTGGTGCCACCCCTGGCAGTGCTCGGGGCTGACGCCTGGCTCTGAGCTGAGGGGTCACTCCTGGCGCGCTCAGGGGACCCTCTGGGATGCCGAGGATCAAACCCGGCTTAGCCGCGGGCAGGGCGAGTGCCTGGCGCTGTGCTATGGCTCCGGCCTAACGCGGAGCTTTGGAATTTTATTTAAGAGATTTGTCTTGGCGTTTGGGCCGCGCCTGGCAGTGCGCAGGGCTCCCTCGTGGCTGTGCACCCAGGGTCTCCCCTGGCAGGCTTGGGGGGCCTACGGGGGTACCGGGATGAACCTGGGGTTGGCCGCAGGAAGTGGCTCTCTTCTCTGTTCCTCCCGGAAGCTTCTCCTGGGGCTCTGGCCGGGAGGCCGCGACTCCGTGGTCTGTGTGTCACCTGGTTACAGAATGGGAGGGTGAGAGGAAGGAGCGTCTCCGGGCTGGTGGGCGGACCGGGGGCGGCCAGGGCCCAGGACTGGACCCCGGCTCCGGCGGCCCCTCCTGAGAGTGCCCTGAGACGCCCCCGCCCCGCCCCCAGGAGGATTACAACCACATCCACGGGGGCAAGTGGACGGTGAACAACCTGCGCCTCTACCTGGAGAGCACCCGCGGCCGGGAGGTGACCAGCAAGCTCTTCGACGACATCCACTGGATCATCGTGCAGTCGCTGAAGGCCGTGGCGGTGCGTGCGGCCGGGCGGTGGGTGCTGGCTGGACGGTGGGCGTTGGCTGGGCAGTGGGTGTTGGCCAGGCGGTGGGTGGTGGTTGGGAGGTGGGTGTTGTTTGGGTAGTGGGTGTTGTTTGGGTGGTGGGGGTTGTTTGGGTGGTGGGTGTTGGTTAGGTGGTGGGGGTTTTTTGGGTGGTGGGTATTGTTTGGGTGGTGGGTGGTGTTGGTTGAGTGGTGGGTGTTGTTTGGGTGATGGGTGTTGTTTGGGTGGTGGGTGTTGGTTAAGTGGTGAATGTTGGTTGGGTGGTGGGTGTTGGTTGAGTAGTGGGTGTTGTTTGGGTGGTGGGTGGTGGGTGTTGGTTGAGTGGTGGGTGTTGTTTGGGTGGTGGGTGTTGATTGAGTGGTGGGTGTTGTTTGGGTGGTGGGTGGTGGGTGTTGGTTGGGTGGTGGGTGTTGGTTGAGTGGTGGGTGCCAGCTGGACGGTGGGTGTTGACTGGGCAGTGGGTATGGACTGGGTGTTGGGTATGGGTCGGGTAGTGGGTGCGGGCTGGGAGGTGGGTGCCAGTCAGGATTGGGGGCGGGGTGTGGTTCCCAGGTCAGAGCAGACGCTTTTGTCTTCCCTCTGTCTCACAGCCTCGTGCCTGTGTGTCTGTGCAGGGTCGAGGCAGCTTGTTTGGGGGGGCTTCTCAGTAGCATCGGCCCCCAGCTCCTTGCACGCCCTCAGCTCTTCTGGTCCGACATGGAGTGTTTCGCACTCAGCGGGCGTCGAGGAGGGGTCTCTGGGTCTTTGTCTTCATCTACTCGTGTCTGCATTTCCCGTGTTTTTTGTCACTTAACTGGGGCCCCTGGCCAGCGGGGCCACCCCCGGTGTTGCCTGGGGGAGGGACACACAGTGCCTGGCTGACGCTCCTTCTGCCGTCTGGGCCGCTCTGGGCAGACAGGGCCCACCCCTGGTTCACTGCAGACCTCCACTTGGCTAGCGGGGCCTGGGGGCGAGCGTCTGCGGCCGTGGTCCCGGGGGCAGTGCCGTGCTGGGTGTGTCCTGGGGCCAGTGCCGTGCTGACGGGGCCTCTGCTGGCCGGGCCTGGGATGCCGCCGCAGCCCCAGTGAAGAGCTGTCCAGAGAGCCTGCTCAGGTTATGCCGCAGCTGTGAGGTGGGCCTGTCCCGGGGCTGTCCCTGGGCTGTCCCCATCCGTGACCCGCCCCCGCCCACAGCCGGTGATGAACAACGACAAGCACTGCTTCGAGTGCTACGGCTACGACATCATCATCGACGACAGGCTGAAGCCCTGGCTCATCGAGGTAGCGCCGCGGCTGCGGGTGGAGGCCCCCGAGGAACTGACCCGTGTTCTGGGGGGCTGGGGCCGGGTCGCCTCGGGCCCCTGGGGGTCCCGACCAGCTGTGCCCACTCGCCCAGACCAGGAGACAGTGGGACGCGGGGCTTGGGGGCCAGGGCACCCCTGGGGCCCCACACGGGCCACCTGAGCCTGGGGCTCTGCCCTCTGCGCCCCCACTGGGCCACGCCCCTCCCCGCTGCGCCCCTGCCCCGAGTGGCGTCCCGGGGTGCTGGTGGTGCCAATGGGCTCTCTGCCTTCTCCTCCCGAGGTCAACGCGTCCCCCTCGCTCACCTCCAGCACCGCCAACGACCGGATCCTCAAGTACAACCTCATCAACGACACCCTCAACATCGCCGTCCCCAACGGGGAGATCCCCGACTGCAAGTGGAACAAGTCGCCCCCCAGGGAGGCCCTCGGCAACTACGAGATCCTGTGAGTCGCGGGGCCAAGGTTGGCCTACGTGCATGCATGTGTGAATGCGTGCGCCTGTGTGTGTGTGTGTGTGTGCGTGCGTCTGCATATGTACATGCCTGCGTGCGTGTGTCTGTGTCTGTGTTTGCATGCGTGAGTCCCTGTGTGTCTGCGTGCACGTGTCTGTGTGCGTGTCTGCCTGCGTGAGTGTGTGCCTGTGTGCATGTGTATCTGAGTGCCTGTATGCTTGTGTATGTCTGCATGCGTGCGGCCTGTATGCATGTGTGTGTGCATACCTGTGTGTGTGTCTGCGTGTGTGAGTACCGATGTGTCTAAATGCATGTGTGAGTGTGTATGCCTGTGTGAGTGTGTGTGTCTGTGCTTGTGTATCTGTGTGCATGTGTATTTGAGTGCCTGCATGCCTGTATGTGCGTATGTGTGTCTGTGTGAGTGCCTGCATGTGTGTGTGTGCATGCGTGTCTGTGAGTGCCTGCATGTATAAGTGTACGTGTGTGTCTGTGAGTGCGTGCATGTGTGTGTGTGTGTATCTGTGAGTGTCTGCATTCCTGTGTGTGTGCCTGTCTGAGTTCCTGCATGTGTGTGTGCATATCTGTGAGTGCCTGCATGTCTGAGTGTCTGCATGTGTGCATGCGTGACTGTGAGTGCCTGCGTGTGTGTGTGCGTGTGTGTCTGTATGAGTGCCTGCGTGTGCATGTGTGTGCATGCGTGTCTGTGAGTGTCTGCATGTGTGTGTGTGTGTCTGTATGAGTGCCTGCGTGTGTATGTGTGTGCATGCGTGTCTGTGAGTGTCTGCATGTGTGTGTGTGTGTCTGTATGAGTGCCTGCATGTGTATGTGTGTGCATGCGTGTCTGTGAGTGTCTGCATGTGTGTGTGTCAGACTATCAGCAGGGGTAGTAACAGTGTGGGTGGGAGCAGGAGAGGTGGAGGGCCCAGGTCAGGGGCTGGAAGGCGGGAGGCCCCGAGTCCGATCCCCACTACTGCACACTGGGGGGACAAGCACCCCTGCAGAAAGCCTAGAAACTTCGACTGATTCGGTCCCTCCAGCCGTCTTTTGTTAGAGATCAGTGGTGGAGTGGGGAGAGAAGAGTTAGGGTGCTCTCTGTTTGGGGGTGATTCCCAGCAGTGCTCTACGGACCCAGGGGTGCAGGGATCGAACCTGGGCCTCTCACATGCGAAGCAGACACTCAGCGCTTTCACCCATCTTCCCTGCCTAGAACCGGGCACCTTGGCGCTGGGCCCAGCCTGAAACCACTGAGCAGGGTGGCCAGAGGTAGCCTGCAAACAAGCAACAACTCCCCTCACGAGACCAGAAGGCCAGGGACACCCTAGGAGATATAAACAGGGGGTGGGACCAGGCCCCAGCCCACTTCTGTCCAGCTTCTGTCTAGCACGGAAGCCCTGCAGGACCCTGCAGCCTGGGCCTGGATTAGTGGGACGGGGCCGGGCAGGGCGGGGCACAGCTGGGGGAGCCTGGTGCTGGCCCTTCTCGCGTGGGCCTCTCCTGGGCAGGACCCTGGGCAAGGAGCGTGACCTGTGGGCACTGCGGGGCAGCCCCCAGCCCCAGCCTGTGTGCCCACTGCGGTGGCCTGAATGGACGATGTCAGGGGGAGGCTGGGCTGGCCACGGATTTCACCTGGGGAGATCAGACATGCGCCGGGGCCCTGGTGGCACTTGGCGGGCACTGGCTGGGGCGGGGGGGCGGGGCCAGGGGCCCGGCTGTTTCTCGGTTGCTGCAGCCCTGACACGGCGTCTGTCCTCAGGTACGACGAGGAGCTGGCACAGGGCGACGGGGCCGAGCGGGAGCTGCGAGGCCGGCAGGCGCCGGCGCTGGGCCCCAGGGGGGTCCGCTCCCGAGACTCAGGGAGAACCGTCCTGACCTGGAAGTGAACGACAGCCGGCCACGCCGGGCTCCAGCCCCGACCTCTCCCCACGTCTACACCCACCGAGTCGCCTATTTTGGAATTTCCCTTTTTTCTAGAGTCTTTGTGTTCCTTCCCCTAAGCCTGTCCGTAAATAAAGGTGCAGCTGGGGCCGGTTCTTCCCCAGCGCCCCTCAGTCCTTCACGACGTGGAATTCTGACACTGGACCTGAAGATGACCCTGGAGGCCGCGTGCAGCGCTCAGGCCCCCAAGGACACAGCCCCCACCATCCCCGCTTCAGACACCCCCACACATCAAGGTTGTTCTGGGGCCCCTGAGCTGGGCCCCTTCCCCCAGATCCCTCCTGAAATGTCTGGGTGACTCACAGCTCCAGGACACTGTCTCGTGCAGCATCGCTGGCCTATCATGGTGGACACACCCCAGAATCGGCTCCCCAGAAGGCACCTGGGGGGACGGCGAGCCCCGATTCCACAGTCTGAGGACTCAGTGAAGGCTTTGAGGAGGAATCGTGACTTAGGCGATCAGCGAGACTCTCACCCGTGCCGAGCGACGGAGGGATGGAACCTTTCTAGACCTGAGCCTGGTCACCTGCCTGTCCCCACGGACTCCGGCCTGGGTGGAGGGGTCATGAGTGACAGAAACCGCCCTGTCACCTTTGGGTGTGCTGTCCCAGGGCCCAGGATCAGAACTAAAGTTTTTCCCCAAACAAGGGGATGAAGGGGTCGCGGGATCTGGGGAATTCTGTGCCAAGACCAAACCAGATTCTTTTCACTTGTGGGGCTGGGGCTGGGGCCCCCTGCTCATCAGTGACCCTTGACCTCCTGGTTCAAGGTCAAGCTCTGCCGTCCAGCCCCTCCCAGCCGCCACTGTCCCTCCTACAGTGAGGCCCTGAGTCCTGTCCCGGCCTCGACTCTGATCTCATTTCCCGCGACACATTTGTGTCTCTAGAACGAGATGCTTAATTGAGGGCACCTTGTCCTCACGAGGCCTTTGTCCGGGTACTCTCAGGAGACATATGTCTTCGGTAAGGATTTGAGTGAGGTTTCCTGGGGGGCATTTGGCAGTTCAGCGGTGCCCAGAGGGCCAGTCTGGGTGATGCTAGCCGGGCAGGCCTCGCAAGCCCCACAATGTGCTTTTCAGACGCTCACTGCTGGGAACCATCAGCACCAGGCTGGTGGTGTTCAGGGACCACCAGGGGGTGGGGACGGGGGGGGGGGGGGCTGTGCAGTGTTGGGGATGGAACTCGAGGTCTCTGGATGCCTGCCGTGCGCTCCTTTGGACCACCTCCCGGCCTCAGTGACGGGTTTCTGGTTCCTTGTGTTTGGGTGACGACCGCCCCCCCTTCCTGCTGGTTTGGGTGCATGTGGGTGATTGAGACACGCAGAGCAGCACGGTGGGGACCGGGAGGAACCTCCCAGCCGCATGGAAGTGTGCCTGGATCCCTCTCCAGCTGGGGAAGTTCATGTCTGGTGCCCGGGACCAGACATGACCAAACACGGGGTTTCCCTGTGTTTCTTGAGCCCACCAGGGAAGGAGGAGGCTGGCAGGGGCTCGGGGTGCCCAGGGACGGGAGGGTGGTACAAATGGTGTCTCACTGGCGCCCTAATCTGTCACCAAGCCGCTCTCAGTCTGCAGAGCGTTTGTTGTCCCCCAAAGGGACTCGTCCCCTTGGCCTCTGGGATGAGCTGGTCATGTCAGCCCTGGCTGACCAGCCGGCCTTGCCCGGTCACTGCTGTCTCCTCACCTGGCAGGGGGTGACACCATGGCTGGTTCTCCACGTCTCCCTTTCTGCCTGTTTTGCTTCTCGGGACCTCTGAGAGGGTCAAGGCCTCGGGCTGGCGGGGAGATGGGAGGGGGCGGGTGGGCTGTTCCGTGAGGGCGGTGTGCACCCCACTCACCAGTCAAACATGCGCCCCTTGAGGCTGTGGCCTGCCCGGGACCCCCACAGGAGAGAGCATGAGGCCGCTCCGGCTCGTGTCCTTTGTTCTTTTTCCCTTTTGGGGAAGACGGGCCCCACCAGCAGGGCAGCCCCCCGCCGTCCACCCACCTCTTCCCTAACATCCCAACATCCTCCCACCTGAGTCCCCAGTGTGCAAGTTGACCCACCCAGTCCGGCCCGCCTACAGATCCTCCTGTCCAATCCTGGCTCCCCTTTAGGCCCCGCCCACAGTCCCTCACCCAATCCTGTCAACCCTCATGACCCGCCTCCGGCCCTTCCCACCCAATCCTGGCTTATTCTCGAGACCCGCCTATAGCCCCTCACCCAATCCTGTCTCGTTCTCGAGGCCCGCCTAGAGTCTCAACCAATCCCTATCCTTTCCGCCCAATCCCCACCTCGCTCTCAAGACCTGCCTACAGTCGCTCACCCAATCCCGCTCATCCCCCTGACCCGCCGCCTTCAGCCCTTCCCACCCAATCCCGCCTCGCTCTCGAGGCCCGCCTACAGTCCCTCAGCCAATCCCGCCTCACTCTCAAGACCCGCCTACAGTCTCTCATCCAATCCCGCTCATCCTCATAACCCGCCTTCAGCCCTTCCCACCCAATCCTGCCTCGCTCTTGAGACCCGCCTACAGTCCCTCAGCCAATCCCGCCTCGCTCTCAAGACCCCCCTACAGTCACTTATCCAATCCAGCTCATCCTCATGACCCGCCTTCAGCCCTTCCCACCCAATCCTGCCTCGCTCTCGAGACCCGCCTACAGTCCCTCAGCCAATCCCGCCTCGCTCTCAAGACCTGCCTACAGTCCCTCAGCCAATCCCGCCTCACTCTCAAGACCCGCCTACAGTCGCTCATCCAATCCCGCTCATCCTCATGACCCGCCTTCAGCCCTTCCCACCCAATCCTGCCTCGCTCTCGAGACCCGCCTACAGTCCCTCAGCCAATCCCGCCTCTCTCTCGAGACCCGCCTACAGTCTCTCAGCCAATCCTGCCTCGCTCTCGAGACCCGCCTACAGTCCCTCAGCCAATCCCGCCTCTCTCTCGAGACCTGCCTACAGTCCCTCAGCCAATCCCGCCTCTCTCTCGAGACCCGCCTACAGTCCCTCAGCCAATCCTGCCTCGCTCTCGAGACCCGCCTATTGCCGCTCACCCAATCCCGCTCACCCTCAGGACCTGCACTTCGCTTTTCCCACCCAATCCCGCTCTCCCTTCCAGAGGGCGCTGTCTGGCACGTGGCCTTTCCCTCTGACCAGTGACCACTCAGTCGCGCCTGGGAAGGCCAGAGAGGCCCTTTGTCCCTGCTGTGCCCCTGGCCTTGAGGGCTCCAGCAGGGGAGCGGGGTCCTCCGTGCTGCCGCCCGCCCCTGGTGTCCCTACTTTAGACTGACCGTCGGCCTCTGGGGCCTCGGGAGGCAGGGCCCTGGCCAGCTCACCTGCTCCCGGCCTGCACCGGTCACAGGGAGCCCGCAGAGTCCTCGCAGCCGAGCTGGGTGCCCGTGGAGCGCCCTCAGAGCACCCCAGACTCTTCCAGAGCCCGCCTGGTTTCCTGCCTGGTTTCAGCTTTGGAAGTCGAGGTATTTGGTTCTGTCTTCGCCGACTCGTCCCCGCCTGAACCTTCAAGTCACGAGCTCCCTCGGGCCAGAGGTGGCCCACGCTTCGCCAGCCAGCACGACGCCCTCCCCGGGCACTGCCAGGAGTGAGCTTGGAGCACTCGCGTGGTCCCCGAGCACCAGTGGGCATGGTCCTCCCCCCCACCCCAGACAAACAAAAACTGGGGCCAGAGCGATAGCACAGCAGGGAGGGCATTTGCCTTGCATGCAGCTGGCCTGGGTTCGACCCCTAGCATCCCATATGGTCCTCCCCCCCAACACCAAGCACCGCCAGGAGTAATTCCTGAGTGCAGAGCCAGGAGAAACCCCTGAGCATCGCTGGGTGTGACCCCCCAAAACACACACACACACACACACACACACACACCCTGCTTCCAGGCAGGGAGGTACACACACACACACACACACCCTGCTTCCAGGCACACACACACACACACCCTGCTTCCAGGCACACACACACACACCCTGCTTCCAGGCAGGGAGGTATACACACACACACACACACACACCCTGCTTCCAGGCACACACACACACACCCTGCTTCCAGGCACACACACACACACCCTGCTTCCAGGCAGGGAGGTATACACACACACACACACACCCTGCTTCCAGGGAGGGAGGTCACACACACACACACACACACACCCCTGCTTCCAGGCAGGGAGGTCACACACACACACACACACACACACACACACCCCTGCTTCCAGGCAGGGAGGTCTCACACACACACACACACACACCTGCTTCCAGGCAGGGAGGTCACACACACACACACACACACACACACACACACCCCTGCTTCCAGGCAGGGAGGTATCTCCAAGGGCTGGAGCCCACAGCCAGGCAGGGAGGTACACACACACACACACACACACACCCCTGCTTCCAGGTAGGGAGGTCACACACACACACACACACACACACACACACACACACACCTGCTTCCAGGTAGGGAGATCACATACACACACACACACCCCTGCTTCCAGGCAGGGAGGTACACACACACACACACACACACACCTGCTTCCAGGCAGGAAGGTACACACACACACACACACACACACCCTGCTTCCAGGCAGGTTGGTACACAGACACACACACACGCACGTGCAGCTGCTGGTGCGCGCGCTGCCCCGACGGGCCAGGCAGGGAGGTCACACACACACACACACACACACACACACAAACATGCAGCTGCTGGTGCGCGTTGCCCCACGGGCCAGGCAGGGAGGTACACACACACACACACACGTGCAGCTGCTGGTGCGGGAGCCCGTGCAGCCGCTGGTGGCGCGCTGCCCCGACGGGCCGGCAGGGGGCGCCGGTGGCTGCTGGCGGTGCGTGAGCGGCGCAGTCACCTGCCAGGTGCTGCTTTCCAGGAGCTGTTACTCACCGTGAGGCAACAGCCGGGATGGGAAAGACCCTGCAGCGAGACAGTCACCGCCGGGCTTCGCTGCGTGGCTCCGGGCCTTGGATCCGGCCGCTGTGAGTTCAGAAGTTCA